TGGGTTGTGGTTTGTGTGTTGCGATGGGGACAGGGACAGGGACAGGGATGGGACCACGATGGGGACGGGATGGGGACAGGGATGGGATGGGGACAGGGACGGGATGGGGACAGGGATGGGACGGGGACGGGATGGGGACAGGGATGGGATGGGGATAGGGACAGGACAGGGATGGGATGGGGAGGGCACGGTGCTGGCCCAGCGCCCCCCGGGGCCAGGGCAGCACGGGGGGCAGAGGGGCTCCGTGGGCTGCAGGGTAAGCACGGGGCTGCGGTGCCGGTGCCGGTACCTGGATGCGGCTGTTTCCCCAGTCGGCCACGATGATGTTGCCGTTGGCGTCGACGGCCACCCCCGTGGGGGCGTTGAACTGCCCGTTCCCCTCCCCGTGAGACCCGAACTTGAAGAGGAACTCGCCGTCTGCGTTGTACACCTGCAGACAGCGGGTCACCGCGGGCTGTCCCGGCGCACGGCACCGGCGCCAGGGGGGACAGCCCTGGGGAGCGCCGGGGCATGGGGACGGCACGGAGCCAGGGACGCCGGCGGCCACTCAGCGCCTGCTGCAGCGGCACTCACCTTCACCGAGTGGTTGTGGAAGTCAGTCACCACGATCTCGTTCTTGTTGTTGACTGCCACGAAGTGCGGCCCTGGGGAGGGGAGGGGGCTCAGCTCCGGGATGGGGACAGGGGGCTCAGCCCAGGATGGGGATGGGGGCCCGGCCTGGCACAGCGCCAGTGCCACAGGGACAGGGGGGCGCCCCTCGGTCCCATGCCAGGGAGGCGGCGGCCCGGCCCCAGTGCCCGGTTAGTGGTGTTAGTGCCACGCGAGCAGCTGGTGAGGCCAGCACAAGGGCGTTAGCACAGGCGGTGCCCGGACCCCCATGGCCGGAGGGGGCATCCGGCCCTGCGGCAGGACCAGCGCTGAGGACGGACCGAGACCCCAGAGCCCCAGCGCACAGGCACAGAGCCCACTGCCAGAACCCAAAACCTAGAACCCAGAACCACAACCAAGAGCCCAGAACCAGGAACTCAGAACCTAGAACCAGAGCCCAGAACCAAAACCTGAGCCCAACACCCAGAACCAGAACCCAGAGCCCCAGCCTAGAACCCAGAACTAGAACCAGAGCCCAGAACCCAAACCCAGAGCCCCAGCCCAGCCCCAGGTGTCCCAGTGCCGGCTGGGTGCCAGCCACCATTGGCAAGGCGTGCAGTACTCACCGGCCCGGCCCGGCCCCGGCGCAGCGGGAAGCCAAAGGCATGCAGTAAGGAAGAGGGGACTTGCCAGTCGGTGTATTACCATCGAGTGTACCTGCAAACTGCCGCTCAGCCGTGCCGCGGCTCCCAAACTTGGTGACGAGCTTGCCATTGGACTGGAAGATGAAGACGCAGCAGGCCTTGTTGTCCACCACGATGATGTGGCCGTTGCGGTCCACGGCGACGCCCTTGGGGCCCATCAGCCGCCCAGCCCCGATCTTGGTCTGCAGCCGGGGAGGGACGTCAGGGCCGGGTGCGGAGCGGTGGCCCCCCCGCCCGGCTGCTGCCCCCTCACCTTGAACTTGCCCTCGGGGGAGAAGATGCTGACCCAGCGGTTGTCGTAGTCCGCAATGATGATGTCCCCGTTCATGTCCACAGTGACGCCGGTCGGGCGCTGGAGCTGGCCGGGGGAGCGGCCCCGCACCCCGAACCGCAGCCGGAACTGCCCCTCGTTGGAGAACACCTGGGGGGGCAGTGGAGAGGGGTCAGGCAGGCAGGGGCGCGGGCTGGGGCCGGGGAGGGGGTCACGGTCCTACCTGCACGCACTGGTTATTGCTGTCGGCCACCACGATGCGGCCGCTGCTGGAGGTGGAGATGCCCTGGAGGTTGGTGAACTCCCCCTTCTCCCGGCCAACGCTTCCTGCGGCCGAGAGGGGGGCGGCTCCCTGCGGCGGAGAGGGGGTGGTCGGGGGGGGGCCTGTCCACCCCAGGGAGCCCCAGGGAGCCCGGAGGAGCCCCCACCTCCTCAGGGAGCCCCCATCTGCCCCGGGGAGCCCCTGTCTGCCCCAGGGAGCCCCGAGGAGCCTCTAGCACCCTGAGGAACCCCCACCACCCCGGGGAGCCCCAGGGAGCCCGCACCGCCGCAGGGAGCCCGCACCGCCCCCGGGAGCCCCTTCCAGCCCATCCTGGTCACTCACCCACGCGGAAGATGAGCTCGTCCTCAATGGGATTCTCCTTCTTCTTGCCGCTGCTGTACATGCTGGAGGGGCGCCGGACGGCCTTCTGCCGAATGTGCCCGCTGCTGGGCGACTTGACGCGGCGCTTGACGTCGTCGGGAGATGGGGGCACGTCGGAGGCCTTGACGGCGCGGACGCGGAAGGGGCTGCCGCGGATGGGCTGCCCGTAGAGCAGGATGGAGAGGAGGAAGTCTCCCTCGGCACGGGGAGTGTAGAGCAGCTCATAGGTGCCATTCTTGTTGTCCTGCACCTCCGCCTCGGCTGTGCCGCCGTCCGGCGCCGTCACCTGGAAGCGCAGGCTGGCACTGCCACTGCGCACCAGCTCCCCATCCTTGTCCTTGGTGGTGACGCTGAGCGAGGAGGGCTGCCCCACCACAGCGTGCCGCAAGCCCTCGCCCGTGGCCACCGTCTTGTGGGCCGTGGCACTGGTGGTGATCAGCACGCCCAGGTTGAGGATGGACTTGCGGACGCCCTCGGTCTCCACCACGTAGTCGAGCTGGGCGTTCTCGTGGGGGTGCTCGGGGAACTCCTGGCTGGCCAGCTCGCTCAGCCGCTCGCTCATCTGCTTCTTCACCAGCAGCACCTCGGTGGCAGTGCCATGGTGCAGCGCCTGCTCGGTGAAGGCGCAGCTGCTGAGGATGCTCTCCTGGCCCTGGCGCAGGGCGTCCAGCTGCGCCTGCAGCAC